GTGTTGGAGCAAGAAAACCTCTAAAACATGCAGGATAGCGGCCCTCGAGGACAGGAGTTTGACACCCCTGTACTAAACCAAACACAAATATTATTCCCATGGGATTTAGGAGGTAAAGTGACAGTAATATATTTTTCAAACAGCATGGGGTTTATAAGGTGTCCCCGGACTGAAACCATTTGATAACTCCTGGTCTAAACAAGCCCTTAGAGCTGGGCCTTTAAAAAAGTGGAAGAGCCCTTTAACAAACTGTCAGAATCAGAAACCAACTTCAGCGTCGCTCTGCAATATAATCTCAGTCCAAGAGTCTTCCACGCGCACAAACACGCATTTATTATCATAAATCAATACAGTTGAATATAAACAGATATTTACATCAGAATGAAACATTTATTTTATTTGTATTTCAGCTTCAGACTCGTGTTTCAGTCAGTGTGGGCGCTCTGAAGGGCAGCGCTACTCACCCCATTGCCGCGGACTTCAGGTACAACTCCTTTAAATAATCTGTATTCTCTGCTGAGGCGGATTATAATTTACTGGTTGAAGTCCAGAGACTGTCAGAGGTCTGTAGAGTCCAGAACCCGACTCTGCCAGGTCCGAGTGAGTCCTCTGGCTGCTGAGAGACAAGTGAAACGTGAGAGCACTTCGTCAAACTCGCTTCACCGGGTTGWCAGGCTCGCTCCTGCCGAACCCCGTTCAGCGCAGGAAGTTTTCCCACCCCTCGTTCCTTTTTCCTGTTGTCGCGCGCGTGCGTTTGAATCCCGCCTCGGAATGCGGTTTTCCTCGGCGTCTTCCAGCATTCGGCGCCGATTAATTAAGTTTGCATCCCCCCGCTCGGTCGCTACGCGGAGTTTTTGTCTGCCTCCCCCCCGGCAGGGATCGTGCGGTTCGACGGGCGGCAGCAGCAGCGACACGGAGCGGCTTCCACCTGCTCCTTCCACCGCAGCCGCCCACTCGTTTTACACAAACATGCGGTTCCTGCGGTTCCACCCTGAAAACGCGCAATGTCTGATCCAGAAATAAACAGAACATCTCTGATGGTTTATTTCCCTAATTAAAGCCCACTTACATGTTTTAATTGGCCGCGTTGACTTTCAGGAGTTGAACACAAATTAAGCCGAATTACCGCCGCGCTTCACAAAACCACAAGCGAGCACATTTTACTCTAAATGTGTCTCTTCAACTCGGCTTAAATTAAAAGACCTAATAAGCGAGTTTTAATTAACTGTGGAGTAACAAACATTAATCACAGACAGGTGCGCACGGCCCCGGAACTTTAAGTTACAGACGTGTGTTCCGGGGGGAAACATTTCAGAGACGGTCTGAAGCGGTTCAGCTAAAACTGACAACATTCTCCTTGTTTAAGGTTTTGTTCTTAAATCCAGTAATTTAAATGCTTTAGTTCTGATTGTATTTGTTTGTTGTGTTTAATCGTTTTGAGTTTTATTTACTATAAACAGGAAACTCGATGTAAAGAAGTAGAAAAGCGTATTTTATCAGTTAGCATTAGCTTTAGCAGCAGCTTGATTCTTTCTGTCTTGTCTCAGAATCATGACCGAGACCCCAGAAAACCCGAAGAGCCTCGAGGATCTGTTTGCTCACAGGTTCTCCTCAGAGGATGAGGAGTACCAGCAGTACCTGAGCCGACCCGCTGACCCCCCACCCATCGTGGAGGGCTGGAGGAGTCGAGGAGGAGGAGGGGGGAACCAGAGAGGCAGAGACAACCGGTAACCAGATTATTAATCTGATTATTAATTATGAGCAGTAACAAGCTTCTTAAGGATAAAATGATATTAGTGTTTTAATAAATATAATTTAACACATATCTGCATTTCCTGCTGATTAATTAAATTTATTCAAATTAATTTCAGGTACCAGGACCGCCGTGGGTTTCGTGACCGTGGGTGGGGAGGAGAGCGCAGCCACCACGGCCAGCACCACTGGCACGACAGAGACCGGTACCGAGGTCACGGAAGTGGGTATCAGTCCGGATCTCCAGGCTACAACTCCCACCAGCAGAGACCACATTATGACCGTTACTGAGCTCCTGAAGTGGACCCCCAGTCCTGATTACCGGTCCAGCCGATGATCTTTTTAAAGCTGGACCGGTTCTGTTATACCTTTAGTTTTATGTTTGTGAAATGTCCCAGATGAGTTTAGCTTGTTGATATTAAACTAAACAGAGTTTAAAGGGCCTGTGACGTCAAAGTTTTGTAATAAACATGAATGCATTTGTGAAAAGATAACATGTTGAAAATCAAATTTCACGTCGCTGAGATGAACAGTTGTTGAGATATTTACATGTGAAGAAACAGGAAGTGATGTCAGAGGGGAATGTCTGCATGTAAACAGAGCGTTGCTACAAAAACAACACAGACTGTAGAGAAAAATCTTTAGATTATTTTTAGTCTCTATCAAAGAGAGATGAAGAGTTAAAGTTAAATAATTTTGTTTTAATAAACAGAGACCAGTGACTTTATTTTATTGAGTTCCCCTTTGATGTCACTTCCTGTTTCACTTTGGCTGAGTCAAATACAACAGAAAATAGGCCAACTATGTGACAAAATGRGTAAAATCGTGTGTATTATGCCAATTCGCTTTAGTGTAAAAATGTTTTCTTTGACTTTGTATCTGAAGGATAGACGTGTCACAGGAACTTTAAATCACAAAGGAATTAAAGAAAAAACAGTCTTATTCAATAAATGTTTATTTTTGTCTTTAACTCGGAATTTTTTTAAATGTTTTTATGTTGTTATTTTATAAACCTTTTATTTGATCAATTTATGAGCTTTGATTGCATCAAGTCCAAACAGGAAGTGAATTATTTTAATCTCTTTAAATTATTGAGTGTAAAGTTTAAATCTTGTTAAATGTTTGTAGTTTTCCTCAGAGGTGAAGAATAAAGGAGTTCCTGAGAACTGGTGACTCATTAAACCAGGTGACCTTCATAYAAACCAGAGCTCCCAGCAGAAAACCATCACTGCAGGTTTTAAAAACAAACTTTAAACAAGTTATTCCAAAAACCTCAACATTTTAACAACATTATCTTCAGGACTTTTAGAAAAATGATTTAAATCTGCTCAGATCACAGAACTATAAAGAACTGACTTTATTTATTCACCTCGGCCTAACCCTGCTGCTTTTTAATGCATTTATTTCAAAGCCTCTGCTCCTTCAGCCTGTTTCAGAAGGAACAACAGAGCAGCGAGGGGTTTTACCCTGAGTCTGGTCTGCCAGGCTGTCGGGCTTCATGTGGTCTGTTTGTCCCGATGTGATGTGACAGCGGTGCAGAGTGGTGCGCTGTGGGCCATGTCCTTAGTGATGAACTCATCCGGCACCATCATCAGCGTGCACACAATGACACACGAGCGCACGGCCCCGCGGCGCTCTGCGACCTACATCTGGTGTCGGAGAGAGCAGCACCGAGGCCCGCCCCCCCGCAGGAAGTCTCTCCGCTCTGCTTTCTGTTCACTGTGAATAAAAAACATAAATATGATTTTATCTGATGGAGACGCTCGTGTTCATCGTCAGCAGTAATTAAAAGGTTTTCTCAGCAGCTCGGCCTCTGCTCAGCCTGACAGTTAATCATGCAGCTGCTCAGGTCAGCCGTGGAAACACACACTGGACTCGGCTGCTGAGTGCAGCTCGTTAGTCTGATTACATCTGAAAACACAACATGGAAACAACACTGCAGAGGCCCAGGAAGTGGGCTAAAAATACATGTTTCTGTCAGACTTTCTGTTTGGGACAAACTAATATTTACATTTAATTTGTGAATGAAAAACATCAGGCTGAGCTGAGCATCACAACACGAAGAAAATAACTTCTGTAATAAAAAAAGGTCTTTGTTTTTATTTCAAACCTCAATTTAATGTGAAAAGCTGAGGCTCTGACGGCTGTCTGCTGCAGGTAAGACACTGACCGCTCATCCACACATCATCAGGTCCACCTGTTCTGTCACTGATCAGCCAATCAGAACACCAGACCAGGGAAGAACTCTGACGACTTGTTAGAACAAGTGGAGCTGATAAAGTTTGCAGTGAGTGGATTTCTAAAATGAACCCTTTCAAAATAAAACACCTGAAAATCTGTAAATAAATGTGAAATAAATCAAATTCATCTTGTTTGTTTCCCACAGGAAACAGAGCTGAGGCTGAGGAGACTATTGATGTTAGTCATTAATTAACCAACAGATCAAACACAAACTGTGTGACCTCCAACACACACACACACACACACACACACACAGCAGAACATTCTGTATTGTTTTTAACAGCCGAAGGTCCTGCAGGATGTGTGACAGCGAGCTGCACAGAGCAGCTGAAGGTGTGAGGATAAATCAGCTGAAGGACAGATTGAAGCTCCAGGAGATGAAGCAGCTAAAAAAGAGACTATTTGAGTTTTCATTTGGTTTGTAAACCAAATGTTTTAGATTTAAAGAGCTAAACATAAACGTGAGCTAAAAATATAGATAAAAATAAAAATGTCTGTCGGTTTCAGCTGTTTGTTCTTGGTATGCTAGGCCTACTTTAAGCTTTTAGCTACTATATTCTGGTATTTTTAACCATTGTTTTGCTACTTTTAGCTTCTGTTACTTATAGCTTTGACACAAACATTTAAGTAGTTTTTTTGGGCTAATTTTTGTTTTAGCTATTGTTTCACAACTTATAGCTTCTATGTAGCTTTTAGCTAGTCCTTTCATGCTTTGAGCTTTTAGCTATAGCTAGCCTTGTGCTACTTATAGTTGTAGATTTTTGCTACGTTTAGGTAGACATCTTCCTGTTTTTGTATTTTAGTTTAATACTTTCAGCTTTCAGTTAGCCTTTTGCTACTTTTAGCATTTCRGTAGCTATATMCTACTTTTTTGTTTTTAGTTAGTGTTTTGCTACTTTCATCCAGCCTTTTGCTACTTTAATGTGTGGTAGCACATTGCTATTTTTAGCTTGATACTTTGAGTATTTTCATACATTTAGCTAATGTTTGCTTTCTTTAGCTTTAGCTGTTTTTTGCTACTTTTAGCTTCTAGTGTTTTGTTACTTTTGGCTTGTTCTTTAATATTTCTAATTTTCAGCTAAAAGTATCTAAAGTTTAGCTTTTAGTTTTTTCATTAYTTTAAGCTTTTAGCTAGTTTTTAGCTCCTATGTACCCTTTTGCTACTTTCAGCGAGTGCTTTTATCCTAATAGTTTAGCTAGCCTTTTGCTACTTTTAGCTTCCAGCTAACTCTGCATCTTTTTAGCTTGTAGCTAGAGTTTCTTCGGCTGTAGCAGCTCAGTTCGGCCTCTTCATTCGGCTGATGCTTTGTGTTTGTTGAAACCATGACTCAGCAGTCTTGTGATGAAGACTTCGGCTGTTCTCTCAGCTGTCAGACCGTCGCCCACACAGAAGGGTCTGGGGGGGTCYGACTGAGTCTGGTACCTGTGGGTGGAATAAAACCGGTCTGTCTGGTTCTGTTGGATCTGAAGCCGCCTCAGTGGGCAGCAGCAGGTCTCAGTGACTCACCTGCCAGCCTTCGTGGATCCGTCTCATCAGAACCCACTCACAGCTGTCTGAGGGCCTCTCCTCAACGTTACGCAACAAACCAGCTCTTCAGCTTTTTYCTCACAGCTTCAAACTTCATCAGAACAGGAATAAATCCTGATAAATAAATTTTGTGCAGGACYTTCTCTCAGTCAGGGGTGCCACGGGTGCTAAAGCACCCACGTTGTTCTGTAGCGACTCCTGGTTCCAGCAGGAAGTCAGTTCTGATGTGGACAAAATTAGCAAAACGCTTCCCACCCAGACCTGGGGCAGCTCACCTGTACGGAGGACCATAACTGTCATAATTAGAAATAAAATCAGAAATAAATAAACAGACCAAATAATAAATAAATACATTTAAAATGCAACAATTCAATTAAAAAAGAAAACTTTACCTTATAACCTTTAATCTAAACTGAAGCAGCAGCATCACAGCAGATCTGCACATAATCCTGCTCCTTCCTGTCTGTTGACCAATAGGAGGAGCTGACCCGAGAAGCTCCGCCCACTTTATTTGCATAACGAGGCAGAAATGCATAAGGTAAAGTAACACCAGCAGACAGAGAAATGTAAAAATACACAGAAATACGAAGACTTGTGGAAATAACCATTAAAGTGCCTGTGACATTAAATTTAAGTGATATTTTTGGAAAGATAACATTCATGATGAACTGCAAAAAGAAATTCACGACACTGACATGAACGGTTGTTGAGATATTCGCATGAGCAGAAACAGGAAGTGACGTCAAAGGGAAATGCCTGAATGAGTTGTTACAACAGCTAACAGACTGCAAAGAATCACATTTCTGTAGATTATTTTGAGTCATTATCAGATTAAAAAGTCAGATTTATAAAACCCAGGATGTTACCTTTTTTTAAGAGTTCCCCTTTGACATCACTTCCTGTTTCACTTGAACTGCACCAAATTTAGCAATAAATATGCACGTTTTGTGACAAACTGGGTAAAAATCCTATGAATGAAGCCAAATTTTTAAAATATTAGGATATTTTCTTTAATATTTTGTAATTTAAGAAAAAGCATGTCACTGGCACTTTAAGAGACACAGATGTACAAGTAAAAGGAAAAATGAAAAAAATATATATAAAAAAACAGCAAAATGTAAATGATATGCTAAAATATTTAATTTATTGGACCTAAGCTGGAAAAATTAATATGAAGCTTAAATAAATTATAAATCATGAGGTAAAGTTCTCTTTTTTTAATTTAATTGGTGCATTTTAAGTGTGTGTATTTATTGGTCCATTTCTATATTTCTGCTTTTATTTCTAATTGTGACAGTTTTGGTCCTCCATACACACATAAACCGGAGAAAATTTATTTATATTACATTATTAATCTTTATATTTTCATATCTTCCAAGGTGCCAATTATGGAACTCTCTGTGCA